TGAAGAGGATGGCCAAAGGCATCCATTCACTGTTCATACTCACTCTGCGACAGCATGTGTGTTCTGCCTGAAATGACATTAGGGGCAGGTTATTGTCATAGGATATACACCTCAGAAGTGAAGACCAGTAACTGTAACAGGTTAAATTGATTTCAGTTTTATCCCTTACATTGATTGCTATCATTTAAGCACTATTTGTAAATTGATTTTATGATCATGCTAAATTAACCAAAGCATTTTGGAAAGTCAAAGCACAGCATGGGTTTTGTTTTATTATGTTGGATTTGTTTTGTTTTGTTTTTTTCATAAATTTCCTTCTAGGACTGTAGTTTCTACCAACATCAGTTCTGTTCCTATAAACCACTTTGTCCACAAGACTTTATACAGTGCCCCCCCAAATCCAGCCTGTCTGTGCAGTGGATAGAGTTTCAACATTGTTCTTATTTTCTGACCGTAAAATAAAATTATGAAGAGAAAACTTTAAAAGAACTCCAACATGGGGCCACTTTTATGACACAGCAAATTGTCACTTTTTGTGACACTGGCATCCAATATCAGAGTGCCAATTTGAGTACCATCTGCTTCAGTTCCAAACCAGCTCCCTGCTAATGTTCCTGGAAAGACCATGAAAGATGCCCAAGTACATTGGCCCCTACCTCCCATGTAGGAGACTACAGGGAAGTTCCTGGCTCTTGGCTGTGCCCTGGCCCAGTCCTGGCTGTTGCAGCCATTTAGGAAGTGAACCAGTGGGTGGAAAAAATCTCTCTCTCTCTCTCTCTCTCTCTCTCTCTCTCTCTCTCTCTCTCTTTAATACTCTGCCTTTGAAACAAATAAATCTTTAAAAAAAAGATAACAACTTCTAAATGAGCAAAGTTGAATGTCACTTGCTACATTAAGTAGCTGAAATCTTGCAGAGGATAAAATTGATTTCAAGTTCCCTCCGGTTGATGTAGAAAAGGCATAGTAAACACAGGATGGGCTGAAGTTTGTGATTTCAGCGTGTTTATATGTAGAGTCATAGATTTTCCAGGTCATGGGATGTCATTGATATTCTGTATATAGACCAGTATAAGATACAATTATCATTTTGCTATCTTTCTTCCAAAGGAAAAGTAATTGACATAAAAGCATTTCTTAAAAATTTATTTTGGTTTGGAAGCACAATAGCTGAAATCCTGACTGTGTGAAAATGTATTTAAGACAATTATGCATTGTTCCAGTACGGAAGAGGACATACAGTTGACACATTGTTCTGCACCATGAGGAATTACAGGCGTTAGCTCTTGGTTTACATGTGCAGAATTCTATAGCTTCTATAAGAACGTCTTCAGCAAGCTTGTGGGAATGCACAGTGAAAAATCTTGGCAAGAATTTTAAAAAATTGCACCAAAATAAACATCATTTAATTCCATTTTCCATTAACTTTTTGAAGTATGCTCATATTTTAGAGGATGTTCCATATCTTAAAGGTTAGACAGCAGAGCTATTATTTGTATTGAAAGTTTTATTCAAGCAGCTGGTACTGTGGGGTAGCAGGTAAAGCCACTGCCTACAATGCCAGCATCCCATAAGGGTGCCGGTTTGTGTCCCAGCTGCTCCACTTCTGATTCAGCTCCTTGATAATGACCTGAGAAAAGCAGCAGAAAGAAGATGGCCCAAGTGTTTGAGCCCCAGCCACCTACATGGGAGACCCAGAGGAAGCTCTGGCTCCTGGCTTCGGTCTGGTCCTGCCCTGGGGTTGCAGCCATCTGGGGAATGAGCCAGCGGATGAAAAGATGAAAAAGCTCTCTCTCTCTCTGACTTTCAAAATAAATAAATAAATAAATCTTTAAAAATATTGTTTTATTTGGGAAAAGATCCTTTAAAATAAGAACAATAAATATTTTTTAAGTTACATAAAATTAAAATTCTGCTCATTCATCCCCTTAAGGAAAATGTTCTAGTTGATACATAGTCCTGCTTGTCTGTCCATTTGCTTGTAAATGGACACTTCTATGGACAGGGATTTGAACCTATTAGTTTTGTTTCTTTTGTTTGTAGAGCAGGTATTCCAAAATTTCTTGACTTCTTAAAACCTCATTCGGAAGAAATAAAACTGATAAAACTAAATTAATTAAAAGAGAATTATAGGTAAATTAAAGAACCATTAGTACTGAGTTCATAAAATGATCTATTAAATTTATTTCCATTGTATTTGAAACACAGAGAAACACAAGAGAGAAAGAGAGCTTCCATTTACAGGTTTACTTCCTGAGTGCCAGCCCAAAGCCAGAAGCTCAGAACTTAACCCAGGCCTCCCGTGTGAGGACAAAGACTCAAGTACTTAGGCTGCCGCCTCCCAGGGTGTGCATTAGCAGGAAGCTGGAATCTAAAACACAGACAGGACTTGAAGCCAGGCCCTGATACAGATTCCTGGCGTACTAGGTAGCATCTTAACTGTTGTGCCAAATGCTTGCTCCAGTCCTGAGTCTTAATGTATGAAAGTATCCATACCCTTTTGACTTTTGTGTCCATCGTGTGGCTCCTTACAACCATGCAGTGGTTTACAAGTATGCCAGGCATTTAGTTCTGTCCTGCCTAGGACAGTAACCACAAGTCATAGGTGACTGCAGCATTTGAAGTGTGGCTATTTCAAATTGAGATGCGTTATAAGTATGAAATACACACTGGATTCCAAAGACGTGGTACAAAAGAAGCAATGTAAAGTATCTCAGTAAAGTTTTATATTGAGTACATGTTTAAATAATAATATTTTGAATATATTTTAACTGAATAAAATATTACTAAATAAAATTTAAATTACAGATGAAGTTTGTGTTTGTGACCCACATCATATTTCCATTGAACATTGCCAGTCTAGATTACTTGTATGTCCACATATTTGTTTTAGAAATAGCAACATCACAGCAGAAAAACCTATGAAATAGCTTTTTAACTGTCACCTCAATTTTGTTAATGTTTCAAATGCTGTTTTTCAACATCACCTTTGGATGTGATTTTGTTGTTACTGTTTCCAGGACGATGGTATCTTAAACTGCCTCTCCTTGGTTAGCAGCAATTCTCCTAGGAATTTAAATAGGCCTCAGTGAAAGTGATGCTTGAACCTTGTTCATACGTTCAAGGTAGATCATTCTTCCAAATAATGGCTTTAAGTGCCTAGTAGATCGGCACTCCAGGCCTTCAATTGCTTGTTATTTCTTTATAAAGATATTTCAAGGAATGGCTCCATGTGATCCCTTTCATTATTTTCTAGCAAAAGTAACATAATCCTTTATTAGTTTATTGGAAGTCTGAGAAGAAAAGCCTTTTATATTAACAAAAACAAAACATATTTCCAGGTACTGAGAATAAAGAGCAAAATTAGTCATGAATGATAGTCCTATGTAAGTTCATTTTTAAAATAAATCATGAACGCTTTGTCAATCTGCCAGCGTCTCTAACCTCTATTTTATTTTCCCATTATACTTGGGTCCAGGTTGTCATCAACTACCATGCGGAAACCTGTGTAATTCCTAGAGAGAGAAAAAGTTGCACTGCTAGACTTAATAGTATGGTAGTCATGGAAGCATCAGTTATCTTCATCAAGGCAATTCAGATTTGATTATTATAGAACTGTGTTGAATACCAAACCAGTGGAGTAGTAGCTGGAGCTAAATCAAGGGATTGTCGTTTTTGTCAGATGATTAGGGCTGGCGTGGAAGAGATACGAGAGGGTTGAACTGTATAAATACTCTCTTTTCAGCAGAAAAAGAAAAGGTCCATCATGGCTATCAAGATGCTGCTTGTTAGCTTGATGAATTTCAAACTATTTAACCTTAGCAATTATGTGCCCCCTCTCCCTCCTGCCCACACGCAAGTCTACCAGTGCTTCAGGATTGTGGTTCCAGGGATTGGTATCTAAGCGCACTGGTCATTGCCGATTTAGATAAAATGTAGTTTTTCTGCATCTAGAATGTATCTAAGGACAATGTATACTCTGGTTCCAAGACCTAATTATTACTTGAATTATATGCTCAAGCAAACATTAGAACACATTTATTTGTAAATTTTAAAAAACTTTTTAAATGGGAAATATATGTATTTTTAACATGTTAGAGATTATAGTATACATTGAAATCATGGTATTCATTGAAATCATACATATGTAAACATTAAGTTTTTATAAAATAGAAGTGTGTTTGTTAATTTTTATTTGCCCATGAGAAGCCTGATGCACTTAGGTAATAGTGCAACTTTGAAATAAACACACCCAAGATAATGATTCAAGGATATCTCTAATGTTTATAAATATTAAATGCCAGAAAGGGCAGTGTTATTAATGCTTTTATGAAAATGTGGATTGATCCACTTGGTTTTGTGTCACAATGATTATCCTACTAATATTTCTACTACCTGGCATGTTTAGGGTACTTATTAAACTCATAAATAAGACTAGATGATAGAAATTGCTAACTTTAAAGCAATTGCTGAATTTTGATGCCATTCATTTTGGGAGAAGAAAGACTTGGTGTGCCATCTAGTGGATATATGTAGCATTCTGACCATCCGAAACTAAGGGGATTTTTGCTCTTCCACCAAAATGTGGCTTTCTTGACACCTTAGGTCTCCCAGCCCTTTATATTTATTTTGAATAGTTTGCTCTTGTGTTACATCTCATACAGTTTTTTAGTTGTGTCATAAATGTATCTGATATTTTGCAAGTTATATTTGAAATTGATTAAAGCCATCAAATAAATCTAATGAGAAGAATAATCTGTGTGAACTGAGACAGGGAAAAGTAAAATATATTAAACAGTTTGAATGTTTAATCAGAACTAATATCAGTTATAAAAGAACTTAAAAGGTAGAAGCAAAACCCCAGCACATTGATTAATAAACTTCATTATTATACATATTCTATTCTGAAGGAATGTAAAAAGTATCACATCTGTCCATTTATATGTTACTTTTTAATTTTGGTAGCCTTATACATTTTAATTTATTGTTTTTTTTTTCTTTAGAGAAACCCAAGACCAGTGACTTACCAGTTCCATCCAAATTTGGATTATTACAAAGCACGAGGAGCAGACCTTATGAATAAAAGCCGGTAAGTCCCCCCTCTCTGATGGTAATTCTAAAACATGGTCTCAGAAAAATTTTTGGAAAATCTTACATGGTTGCTGGAAAGTATTTTCCAGATTCTAGCATGTTAATGGCTAATGTGCATAAGGAATCATTATTGAGTGAAGATCTGCCTTTCTTTTAAGGCATAAGAAAATGGTATATTTTGATGCAAGTAGTCAGATGGAGAATTAAATAAAGTATACTTGTTACAACTTGAAGTTACACAACTTCATTTTTGTAACACTAATAAACTTGAATAAATTGTGCCTACTTGTATAATCTTTTTCTAGATTCTTGCTGTTGATTGAAAAGAGGCAGTTCTATAATATATTTTTAAATTATTTCAGTAACAAAATTAAAATTGGGTTTCCCAACTGTCTTTGGAGCTACACAATAAGCTTATAAATGCTTGTATGTGCATTTGTGATTGCGTACATAGAAATTTTAAGGGTCACTGTAGGAATAAAACAACATTAAAATCCTGCTTTTTAAAGAAATTAACATTGGCATAAAGGGTTGATGAACAGTTTTGTTCTTTCATAATACTATACTCAGATGTCTCAAGAGTTAACTTGTCAAACCAGAGCCATTTCAAATTAGAATGTAATTTCAAAGTTTACTCTGGAAGACTTAAAATGTTAGTAATGATAAATGCTGCCAAGTTGTCCGAATTTTCTTCTGTAAGCATATTGCCTTACGTGCTAGCTTTTCTTCAGTAGAAATCCAACAGCCTGAAAATACGTTTATGGAGTACATATCCTCAGTATGTTCTGCAGCTACTGGAGAGTTCAAAATAACAAAGTTCCTGCTACATAGGAACTCACGGTCCAAGGGGTGAGAAGGAGTTTACAACAAAGTGGCTACCTTTAAACTTAAAATTTGAGCCCTGTTCCAGTGTCATGGCATTTCACCCTTGACTGAAGTCTGTCCCGTGTTTTGATATACTGTAGTTAAGAGACCAGCTCCGGAGCCCTTGAGAATTCGGAAGCTCTGCGGTTTGTTCATTTCATCTGAGTCTTGTTTCACAAATAAAAAGTTATTCCCTTTAGTCTCGTGTTCGTTTAATTCAACAACCTCTTCATGAAGGCCCAGCTCGGTTGATTTTAGGACCTGGGAGATGCCCGATCCATCAGACACAAATCCCTGTCCTCAGGAATCTTACTGTCTAGTCTCTTACATTTCTTCCCCGTCGTGTCCAGTCATGTTTAGTTTTGGTTTTCGGTTCTGTCGGGCTAGAGTCCCTTCTGTCTACGCTTCAGCCAGACTGGTTTTCACACAGCACCCAGAGGAACCTCAGTTGGCGACAGATCGTAGCACACCTCCCCGGGTGCCCCTCCAGCGGCTTCCCGTGCTCTTGATGATGCAGTGTTCTTCCTGTGGCCCTCCCTTGTCTGACATCCTCTCCTCCTCCCGGCTTTTAACCCCAGTGCTACAGCCACAGAAGCCCTGTCTGTGTCTCCTTCTCGCCTGGGGTCTTTACACTTCTCCTTCCCTCCTGTGGGCCCGTTCCTCAGGACCATGCATCCCACCCCTTTCTTTCCTTGCAGCGTCAGATTCGGGGCTCTGCACATGTTTCCCAGAGAGGCTGTTCTGGGCCTCCCTGCCTGTCTTCTCCTCTGCTCGCTATCCCAATACCCAGACTGATTTTCATCACCGCGGTCATCAGTAACGGTCATCATAAAGTCATGTGTGTGCTTACCATCTGTCTTCCCAGCATCCCAGTGGGATCTGAGCCCCCTGAAGGCAGGCACTGTGTTTTACCCACTGCTCCATAGCAGTGCCTGAAGTAAGGAAGGGACTCAGCAAGTGCGCGTTGAAGGTATCATCTTCAGCGCTTTCCACATCTTGTCCTTCCCAAAGGAAAAGGAAGACACTTTTCCCTTCATGTTCTCCTGTTCGGCCTTCTCTCCCTGCATTTTTCTCCAGCAAAATGTTGGCACTGTTTCACGTATTTCCGTGTAAGCACATTGGGATTCTTACATAAGATTTCATTTAATGATTGGAAGGAAGGCTTTTCATCATCTCTTGCAATTTCAAAGCTTAAAATTGAAATTGAACCAAGTGAAATGTAATGTGTGTGGTAGAAGACATTGCAACCCAGTGAGCAAAAGGATAGGTGGTGTTGGGAAAATTAGCAAATCTTTGAAAAGCTATCAGCTGCCATTTTGGCCGCTGCTGCAGCTCACTAGGCTAATCCTCCACCTTGTGGAGCCAGCGCACCGGGTTCTAGTCCCGGTCAGGGCGCGGATTCTGTCCCGGTTGCCCCTTTTCCAGGCCAGCTCTCTGCTGTGGCCCGGGAGTGCAGTGGAGGATGGCCCAAGTGTTTGGGCCCTGCACCCCATGGGAGACCAGGAGAAGCACCTGGCTCCTGCCTTCGGATCAGCGCAGCACACCAGCAGCAGCAGCCATTGGAGGGTGAACCAACGGCAAAAGAAGACCTTTCTCTCTGTCTCTCTCACTGTCCACTCTGCCTGTCAAAAAAAATAAAATAAAAATAAAAATAAAAATAAATAAAAAATAAAAGAAAAGCTATCAGCTTACAGCCTTACCACACACCAAAATAAATTCCAAAGTACACTCAAAAACGCAAACAGAAAAAAATACAAGCGCTCTCCTGACCAGCGGTTACTCACTAAAAGTAACCGAAGAAATCACAAAGGGAACGACTGATGGATTTTACTATGCAACAGATATTTTTAAGTAGATAAGTCACAAATAATCTGGCTCAAAGGGCAGTTAGAAAGTTAGGAAAACATGTAGTGGATGTTACTGACAAAGTCCAAGGTCATTGTAGAGAATGTGTGCAGTTCCCTAAGAACAGGAGACCTGCCTCGGGCCACTCCATCTCATGTCATGGGCTGTTGGATCCTCCTCCTCCTCCTCTAAGTGTTGGAATATCCCCCAGGTATTTCTTCTTCTCTAACCGTGCATTCCCTAGAGAATCAGCCTGCTTCTTGAGTTTTCATACCATTTGTGGCTGCAGGGTCCTTGGTTTCCGTCTTCCATTCTTTTTTAATCTCTTCCCTTAAACTCCAGAATCAGATTCCCCTCGTTGCTCCGTATTTCCTCTTGAATGCCCCATACATTTTGAACTAAATACTTTCCAAAAGAGACTCTTGCTTTTATGACCATATCCAAAGTCCTGTTTTTCCCTCCGTATTTTTCCATCACAGTAGGTAGTACTTCCTAGTTGCATTAGAATTGTCTTTGACCTTCTTTTTCTCCCACATTACATAAGTCCATCAGCAAAATCCTCTTCAGAATATCCTGAAGCAAATTACTTTTCTCTCTCTGTGCTGCTAAAACCAAGTTAATCTTTTATCGTTGCTCCTCTCACTACCGGTGTCCTAACCAGGCTCCTCTCCTCCCTAGAGACCATTTTCCACATGACAGCCTGATTGACATAAGCCATTACATCACCTTTCAAAAGCTTCCCAAAACACTTGGGCAAGATCCATAGCCTTGACGATAGCCCACCCGGCAGGCCCTGCGTGCTCTGGCCCCATCATCACTCCGGCTTCACCTGTGACCGGCACTTTCCCAGTTGTCTTCCAGCTCTGACTGTCCTGGCCAGTTCACTGTTCTCCCAGCACAGGAGTGGGGCCCCTTCAGGAGCTTCGTGCATACCCTTCCCTGTGCCTGAAATATTCTTCCCAAAGAATCCACATGGCACTCTCTCCACCCAGCCTGTCTAATGACTGTCTGTCTCCATGCTGTGACTACTGTGTCTGAAACAACAGACCCCTTTCTGTCACTTTGCTTTGTTATTGTCTTTGTTTTTTGTCTTTTTTATAGTAGTTCACACTACCTGAAATGGTATTTTAGCTTCTTTTTTTTTTACATTTATTGTGAAGATATTTTTATTGGGTCTTGTGGCAAAGCAGTGTTAGCTGTCTTATGGCACCTAAAATAGTAGACTGTAGCAGGTACTCAATGAAAGGAATGACAAGCAGCAAATAAATATTTAAAAGGTAGTTCAGACTCATAATTAGTCAAAAATGACTAAAAGCAGCAATTGAGTACCATTTTCAGCTTTCATTTTGTAAATTAAAAATGACCCAGTATTGGTTAAGGTGCGTGGCCCCTGCAGTCACCAGTTGAGGAAGTATAAGCTGACAGCAGACTTGATAATCTCACCAAAGATTTCTTCACCTCCTCATGAACCCCTTGCAACCATCCTTCCCTAGAGGTTTGTTCATCATGGTCAGCTCTTTTACCTGTGATCAAAAACCATTGTAGCTGTCGCCAGTATTGTGGCATAGTGGGTTAAGCCAGTCTGCAATGCCAGCATCCCATGTGGGTGCCTATTCGAGTCCCAGCTGCTCCACTTCTAATCCAGCTCCCTGCTAATTGCCTAGGAAAGCAGTGGAGGATGGCCCAAGTGCTTGGGCCCCCTTTAGCCATATGGGAGACCCCCAAAGCAGCTCCTGGCTTCAGCCTGGCCGAGCTGCAGCCATTTCGGCTATCCAAGGAGTGAACCAGCAATGATGGAAGACCTGTCTCTCTCTGGAACTCTCTGGAACTTTCTCTGGAACTCTGCCTTTCAAATAAATAAAATAAATCTTTTAAAAAAAACTGTAGCTGTGAAACCATTGATAAAGTCTCCGTTTTGCTATTTACAGACTAAAGCTTTTACGAGACTGGGTCCGTCAGCCATAATTGGCCTTACTACTGCTTTCTGAGTTGTTTGGAAGCTATTAAAGACTTAGTGCGTGGGGCCGTCCCTGAGTAACAAGCAAGGAAGTGGGATGATCCATAGGAGATTTATCTATAAGTAAGGGAAACCCCCAAAGTGCTCAGGCAGTAGACACCTGGACAGCAAGGCTGATACCTACTGCATCTGTGGCAATGGACTTCGATTTGTGTCGCATATCCAAATAAGGAACGCGGATGCGAAGATGGCATGTGATTTCATGGATAAGAATATCTCCAAAAATCAAGAAGCCTGATTTCGCTTCTCTGCTTTACCATGGATTGCTATAA